GGGCCTGAGTTTCCCCTCCTCACCTAATCCCTTCGGCTGATTGCTCTTCTGTCCGGGTTGAAGGCTTTTTTCCCCTTCCCTGCTCTTCCAGCCTGCTACTCTGGCGTCCCTGCATTGTCTCTCCTCACCTGTAAGCCTGGGGTTACAGAAAAAGAAAGGTTGGGCAATCTAATTCTGTAGTGATACCACCTCGGAACCCCAAGGAGGGGTCACTATGAGTCGGATCCGACTTGACAGCACATAACAACAATGACAATGACAGTTTGTCCAGACTGGCTTTCCTGCCTAACTCGTTATAAACCTAGCTACAAAGCAAAGCAAGGGCGCTGTGCTGTGCATGTGGCCAGGAGACATCCACCCACTCTCCTGCCTCAGGTCCTCTGGGTGAGAGCTGGCGTTCCACATGTAAACAAAGCCTGTCAGCATTGTTCACACACGAGGTTCTTGGACAATAGGATGGCAACCAAATCCTATTGACCCCAAAAGTTTTGAAAGTGTGGACTCAGACAGGCACCAGTGTTCACTAAAGCCCTATGCACAATAGCTAAGAGGTGGGAACAGCCCAAGTGTCCGTTGACAGATGATGGCTGAACACCGTGTGGTCCACGCACACAGCGGGGTATCAGCCAAACAAAGGACGAGGTCCTGACACAGGCACATGGATGAACCCTGAAAACATGACGCGGAGTGAACGAAGTCAGACCAGAGGACAGTGGCGATCCCCAAACAGGCAAATGCAGAGACAGGAAGTGAAGTAGTGGTCACCGGGGCTGGAGGGAGGGGAGATGGGGAGTTACTGCTTAAGGGGGCAGGGGTTCTCCAGGTGCCAGACATTTCGGAGCCAGATAGCAGGGGTGGTTTACACCCGGAGTGTCATTAATGCCACTGAACTGTACACTCAGGGTTAATGGCTCACTGCATGTTGTGGATCCTCTGCCACAATAAGAAAGCTTCATGGTGCCATCTGCTCGGCCCTACCCCTCGGCCCTGCTGTGCCCTGAAGGGCGGTGGAGATGCCAGTCAGAACCCTCAGAGCCTCCCGGCGTGAGCAGGAGGCCGCACGTAGCTTGCCTTTTCCTCTAGATCGTTGCCTGGACCCTCACCCACTCGCTCAGACACGATGCGTGCACGTGGGTACACAGTGGGACACCTGTCACTGGGTTCGTCCCTGGACTTGCCACTGCGGGTTCACATGGGCCCTTTTTACCACTCTGTGGGGACCTGGGAGTCCCTGGATGGGGACCTGGGAGTCCCTAGGTGGTGCGATCAGTTCACGTGCTCAGCGAACCACAGGTGGGAGGTTCAAGTCCTCCCGGGGCCTGGGGACAGGCCCGCTGCTGTGCTTCCAACCCATCAGCCACTGAAAACCCCCTGGGGTGCAGTTCTGCCCCAGTCCACATGGGGGCGCTGTGGGCCACAGCCAATTGGTGGTCAGTGACAGGTTATGAAGACCTTGATGTGTCTACCCCTGGGATGACTGGGACAGCATTTTTTGGTGCAGTGCCTAAGGCACTTGACTGCTAACCAGAAGGTTGTTGGTTCAAACCCACCAGCTGCTCCGTGGAAGGAAGAGGGGCAGTCTACTTCTGTCAGGATTTACCACCTTGGAAATGTAACGAGCGTCACTATGGGTCAGGATGGACTCGGTGGCAGCGAGTTGGGTTTTGAACGGGAACGAGTCCTCCTGAGCGAGGCCCTCACACCTGTGGTTCTCGTCCTCAGGTGGAAGTCTGGCTGAACCGTGTGCTGGACCGGATGTGCGCCACGCTGCGGCACGAGATCCCGGAGGCCGTGGTGACCTACGAAGAGAAACCGCGGGAACAGTGGATCTTCGATTACCCGGCCCAGGTCTGAGACCAACCCGTCTGCCTGGTGAATGGTGGCCCTGAAGGGAGTGTCCCCTTTCTTTTATTTATTTATTTATTATCATTATTTATGTATTTTTAATTGTGATTTGGGTGAAGATTTACAGAGCAAATTCACTCTGCATACAGCAGTTCACATATACTTTGTCTCATGTCACTGACCACAGTTTACCACAATGCTACAGCTCCCCTCCCACTTCCTCCCCATAGTCACCTCTTCCCAGTGTTCATCCCTCCATACTCTCCTGCCCCTTGAGCTGTCTCCCTGTGAATAAGCAGCCCTTCTTTCTCCCATGATTGTTCTCTTCAAGGAGTATATCTACTTGAGGTAAATGTTCAGCTCATATGCCTGTATTTTGTTTGGCTGG